AGCAACAGGCAGCAAATGCAGCTGCTGCAAAACGGAGACTACACAACCGTCCAATTGTTGAAAGCAGCAAAACAAAAGCCCAAAGTCGAGGGCGTTTGTTTTGACAGATTCTTTAGGAGATGGGTGAGGGTTTAGGGTTTAGGGTTTAGGGTTTAGGGTTTTAGCTTCATTGCTTAGGGTCTAGAGTTTCTTATTAGGCCTTTTCGCTAAAGGGCTAGCGTGTAAAGCTGATCGTTTATGGGGTTTAGGCTTTAGGGTTTAGGGTTTAGGTTTTATGGTTTAGGGATTAGGGTTTAGGTTTTAGGGTTTAGGTTTCAGGGTTTAGGGTTTAGGGTTTAGTGTTTGGCGCGCAGGTGGCGAAGAAGAGCGGCACGAAGAAGTTGTACTTTCCAGTCCACAAATTCGGGTTTGATCGAGGCTATGAATTGGCAGTGCAAACGAGAAGAGACCATTTGCTAAACCCTAGGGTTTCTGGTTCAGGTAGAGTTTAGGGTTTAGGGTTTAGGGTTTAGGGTTTAGGGTTTAGGGTTTGGGGTTGCGGCGTTTGGTCTGCTGCGAACTGCTGCGTCGGAGACGCTGCAAGGGCGGGCACCCTTTGCTGCGGAAGTGACCCGAGGGTTTAGGGTTTAGGGTTTAGGGCTTAGGGTTTAGGGTTTAGGGTTTAGGGTTTAGGGTTTGTGTGCAGAGGGAGCTCATGGGGGCGCCTCGTCCTCTAAAGCGGGTTTACTGCTGCAGCGCTCAGGTGTACATACACCTCAAAAAACCAGAACTGTCAAAAGCAAACCAAGAGCACAAGCAGCAGCAGCTAGAGAGGTAAGAACAAACGGTTTAGGGTTTAGGGTTTAGGGTTTAGGGTTTAGGGTTTAGGGTTTAAGGTTTTGACTGCCTTCCATGGAGAGCGCGAGATCCATTCTGACGCCAGTGCCCCATGGAAGCACTTTATTTATTTATTTAGTTTAATTAATTGATTAATTAGTTGATTAATTAATTAATTAATTAATTAATTTATTTATTTATTTATTTATTGCTTCTTCACAGCCACTTGTAAATAATCTGTTTGACGAAAGAAAAGAAAAACAAATGCCCCAGACGGAGCATGGAGGGCATTACCTGCAGCAGCAGCAGCAGCAGCAGCAGCAGCTGCAGCAGCTG